AAGTGAGTAATTGATCTGCAGTCACAGGGTATTGTTGAAGTTAACGTTCGTTGTTATAGCGTTTGTTTTAGCGCGATTGATGAAGTTGAGTGTATCGGTAAAGTTATATTTGGAAAGAATAAACCAGTTTTATTAAGAAATGACTTGTGTCGCTTAAGTTTCGTCAGAACGAAGTTACGGAAAGTTAATTAACAAACGGAGACGTAACAGTATTTTGCAACATTTTGAAGGTTCAAGGACGAGAAAAAATATTCAGTTTTTATCGACATTGGCGAGTTGTTTTGATAAAAAGTTCCTTAATAATCTTGCCAATTCTTTTGAATGAAACGAACGGGATAATCGTAATAAAAACATCTTGCTATAAATTTGAGTTGGATCTTCCGTCTCTGCAGGTCAAGGAGTAGGACACCACAGTCTACTTCCATAGTCGATATATGGGTGTTTCAATGCTCCACAACATAATCGCAGACAACGATTCTGAATAACGTCCGGTTGTTTAAGGACTGAGCGACTCGCAGAGTCATGAGAGAGGTCATTTTAACTTCGAACACTAGTCTTTATGCAACAAATTATTCCGATATGTGGCGCTACAGTCTGAAACATGAGGGAATGGTAACGTTTAGTAGTAAAATACGACCTTAAACGAAAATTGCACTCTTGGTTTTTTCACCTCATTTACATCAATCAGAAATTTCTTTCGGAAGTCGTAGAAAGTTATGACCCGGTGAGGAATGTAACCGTAGTAAGTGTTCTGTATAATTTTACTTGATAATAATTAAAAAGTACAAAGTAAGTCTTTATGGTTTTACTATTATTATTAATATTATTATATAGTATTAATATTATACGTTTTTAGTACTACTACTTGTAACAGTGTATTATTACTAGTACTACTACTAGAGAAGAATGATACATTTCTAACACCGTGACACTGTCGGTGTCACTGACAGTGACAATGTGATATTCATATTCAGCGAGAAATATTGGGACAGTTTAAAGTGCTTTATGTAAAAGAGAAGCGCCCTTCACTGTCTCGGTAGTATTGATAATAACAGTAATACTATTGAGAAGTGCCTCTTTTGCAATACTATTACTATTAATATAGAAAAAAATAAGACAATTTGAGTAACAAAAATAGCATAACAATCACACTAAGTTATGATTGATTAACTACTTAATATGAATCGTGCTTTATCATCATTATTAAGTTACGTTAATCACTTTTGAAAGCAAGTGTTTAAAGGTTCCAAAATATTTTTGATCTTGTTTTAGAAAAGCATGAAATTGTATTTTCAAGCTTCACTTTCAGTTTCACAAAATTTCAGTGTTGCAGAAGTTTCATTGAATTTATTTTTGAGCTGATGCAGTAACACTCTGTCACACTCAGACTTGAAAAAAAAAGTAAGTAATTGATAATAAGATTAATACTATTAGACTTCTTCTAAAAACTACCATAAATGAACTATGTAAAATTAACTATAAGCAAGTTTTATTTTTCATGACATGAAAATTGTTCCTAAGTTTAAGTAACAGTAAAATGTATTGAGTTCTAAATAATTGAATTAAACTGCTAATGCTGATACTATTAATTATATGGTTCTACAAGCAAAACCTAAAATAAAGGTACAGTTTAGTAAAAAAGTCTCATTTCTCAAAAAGTTTTTTATTAATTTCTTTTTAGTGTACTATGTAAATATTCTAGTTTTAATATGCCTTAAACACAGAGTTAAATACTTTAAATACATCTACATTATTTTAAGAATTGTACTGTGAAAGACCCAGCAGTATCTAAAGGTACTTGAACAGGAAAAGTAGAACTGTTATTATTCATTGATTTGAATAAAGTATATTTTTCAAGTGTTGACTCATAATATTGCCTAATTTTAGGTTAAAGTATTTCTACCATCATTTCCTTTTGTTCATCAGAACTGAGATTCTTTCACCCAACATAGATTTTGGTGTTTGATTCTCCTTGTGCAATAACACTGTCTTTCCTACAAAAGCACAAAACATGTAAATATTTTGGTTCTTGAAACAGTTATAAAATCTTAATTTATTAAGATCACTACAATTTTTCACAAAGTAGTTGCAACTTAATACAAATGACTTAAGATATGACACTTTGTTTTGTGTTAAGATTTTCATCCTAGTTTGCTACTGGTTTTTAATGAATAAATAAACCCACTTATTTTATGGTTTAATCTGATGTGAGATAAAGGCTTGCATGTAGAACCTGCGTAGTGTTTTTCATTCTGATTTCAGTTTGAGTGGTAGAGTTACACAGTGCTTTAGAAACTGACCGACACTTAGATTTATTAGTAATTGGTGAGCACATAACATGAAGTAAGTCTTTAGACTTGACAATAATTATAACCACATCATAGTGCATTATTTGTATTTTTCCTGGAATTAAGAATATAAAAATTATGGTATATAAAAAGCAAGCATATTAATAATTTTGTTCAAGTAGTCTGGCTCACCTGTCAACCATTCTGACTTCCAGTACCACTGTCTTGGTTAATAAACGATTCAGTTTTAAAGAGTTTATAATATTTTCATATACATTTCTCCAGTTGTCTAGAACTAAATCTACTTCCTTTAATTTATTTGCTCACAATGCTGGAATCCTTAATGTATCTCTTTCTATTTTTGTTTTGTTATTATTAATGACAAATTAAATCATTTAAGTTTTAAGCTGTTAAAATAGGACTAAACCTGGTATAGTTCCTCTCTAATCTATTGAGAATATCAGCTTTTTGGCATACTGTATAATAAAACTAAAAGTGAAAATTTCTTACAATGGGATTATACCTTAAATATGACACTGTACCTTTACTATAACCTTCAGGTATAAATCTTGATTTCAGACTGTTTTTTGTTTTCTTTATCTCCTCTCAACAACTCGCTTATCTTTACCATTGAATTTCTGATCTCTTCTTTACAAGATTACTAAATTCTCTTATGCCCTCTGTTGGCAGAGTGTTTAAGCCAATCAACTACTGACATATTTACTATCTCAACATGCACTACCTTGTATGAGCACATTTTCTCATGGCAGTTTTCATCCACATGCACTTTTTTCTCATTAAGGATCTTCCCAGTGCTTCAAATAATCCCTTTATGATTTTGTTTTAGAAAATTTATAAATTCATTGCCAAAGTTTCTTTCTTCTGATGTGGTGGTAGAACTGATTATTTCAATGTTTAAGAACTGGGCCTGGAACCAGTGTCTGTCTCACCTCGTTTATGTTTAAGACTGGAATAGTATGATTTTACGTACTGTATTTTACAGCATGTAATGCCCCCCTTTTTTTTTACCTGAAAAAAGCTTCTTAAAAATCATTCTGCATCTAAGATGTTAAGCTAAATAAAATGCATCTCTCATTTTTGCCCCCATAAGCTAAATTCTACCTAGTCTTTCCCCAGGCAACTGTACATTAAAATATAAAAATGAATCTATACAAAAAAATATGATTAGGCTTGTAATTAATAATAAAAAAAATTGTGGAATATATGAGTGGATTTATAATAGGTAATGATAATCCAAGACAATTAGCATCAGTATAGCTAAGCAGTTCACCTGGTTCTTTAGTGCTAAGCAGTAAGTGTTTCTGAATTCTTATGAACACTACTGTCTACTACAGTTCCTATTTGCAATGTGCAACAGTTCTTGAATTGCTCATGTGCAAATGACACCCTGGCCTTTTTCCTTACTGCCACGTCAGGCCAGTACAATTTTCTCCCTGGGGACACACGTATCCACAACGAACACCAATGGAAACATGCTTGTCATTTGAAAGATAATCTATTACTTACGTCTCCTTACCTTGGAGAGACTAATGGTTAATTCTGATCTTTCTATTGGTTATAAGAATCCCATTCAAGGACAGAAAAATGCTTTGATACAATCAAATGTGTTTTTCCAAAATATTCTTTGCTAAAATATGGGTGCATCTCATATGCTGTAAAATATGGTAAATGTTTTGAGAAATAGGTATGCAACAAACTCAATTTTATAATAAAAAAAAAATATGAATACTGTATATTAATTTGTAAGTTTTTGAAATAAATGCACAAGTAATTATTTTCTTAATACATACAATATGAGAATATAATCATCTATGAAATATTTTAGGCAGTTATTAAAAAAAAAGGAAATTAATGTTGATATTAGAAGTAATAAGTGAGATACAAGTAATTTTGCAATACTACATGATATGTGTTTCTGTGTGCATCTAAAAATAACATGGCAGTGAAAGAGTTAAACATGGCAAAATAATTAGATAAAATACAGTATGTGTGATACAAAAAAAAAACAAAACAACAACCTCAGAATGTGGGGGTGTACTTGTAAAGTGCAAGCTTGTTCTTGCACAATTAGAATTGTAAAGCTTTTATCTGGGCCAAAATGATTGACACACATAGTTCTGTAGAGACTTAAGGTGGTAGAGGTTAGGTTAGGAACCTTGGATATGGATTTTGGTTTTTCTTACCAGCAATTACAGGTATATTTTCTTTAAAAATTTATAATGTATGAAATTATGTGTTGTTAAATTAAACTTGGTTAGTTTTAGTTGATTAACTTCTGGATAAGAAAAGAATTCCAGTAAGGTTGGCATTGTTAGACTAAATAATTGTCATTTATTGGTTCCCCTCGACGTGGATTCCTGTACGTGGTGAGGGGACCTCCCAGGGAAGGTTCTGTATTTACAGTTACTCTCT